CATTCATCCAAATAATACCAATTTCGTACTTGACTGAGATCTCACCAATATATACATACATACCAAGTTTCACCAAGTTTCTGATAAAATAAAGTTTTAAGCAAAATTTGATGTATTTTTACTCAGTCAAGGGCAATTACTCTGAAACCGTTGCGGGGATGGGAGACTTTCTTGTCAGGACTTTCAAGGGCACAATACGAGACAAAAATCTCCATGTCGATAATCACATGCAGAGAATGCATATGAAAGGAAAATGAACTGATTGGATGATGAAACTGTCTTGCAGACAATAAAAGTATCGGGGACAAAATAATCTTGACGAAGACCTCTCATGTGCCTGCACCTTTATAGGTTGATGCCAGATACATGACTGTTGCCAGGACAGGTTATTTCAATATTTATCTATAATTGTATTTCACCCTAACATGATATCATTTATTGAAATGATAAAAAACACTGTTTAATTTTTATAAATAAGAAAACAGACATGAGTAAAAATGAGTATTAGTTTCTATACACAATTAAGATTATAAAAATATTGTAAATAGAAAATAAAATATTTTGATATTATGGAACAAATTATAATTTTTAAAATAATGAACATTAGATATCACAGATTATCTTATCTTGAACATGGCTGTTGATTTGGCTTGACTGCTCAGATTTATTAGTGATGTATACCAGTAACAGCAAGAATGGTTTGCAGCCCATTTCATTTCAGATTGGGAAATATGACTTCCCAAATAATTTCAACTGGAAAATTCCTCCTTTTCTGAGAATAAAGAATAAAGCAAGAGTAATGGCCAGTTAAAACTGTTAAAACTATGCTTTCAATATGTTGATATATCTGAAACTATGTCCAACAGAAATCAACAGCCCCCTTACATAAGCAGTGGAATACAAACATTATAATATCAAAATATTGATAATAATACCATAACTATACATTAACAACTATTTGGTTATTGTTTTAACTGAGGTCATCCAGGTTGTTTCAAAATGTAAAACACTTTAGAAATCATTATCAGTTATATTTGCTGCCTAGTTAAAAATAAAAAAAAAATAAATCATGGAAATAGAATCACACTATTTTTTACATCTCTCCTTACTGTTTGATATGGAATCCCAAAAAGTTATGTTCAGAGTAATAGATCAGATATACAGTGTAAGTAAAAAAATGTCATGGAACATCACAAAAACACCTCTAGTATGGAAAATGTAGGTAAAAATACTGTATCATATGGATAATAAAGATGTATATAAAGAAGATTTAAATAGATGATTAAGGATGTCAATTACTGAAATACCATCTATTGGAGATAAGATAATTAATATGGTATTGTTAATTTCCATACAGTTATTGGCGATACCTCAACTGTATTCCTTGTTACAGACTTTCCTCCAAACACTAACACTTCAACTTTATCATTCACTGCACAGTTATTCTGAAAATCATAATAATAGAAAATATTACAATGGTAACAAAACATGAGAAATGAACTGTCATTTTGTTATTAGCTTTGATATGTTGTGATACAATGGTCTTAAGCTCCCATATACTTGTATCTATTCTGCATACACACATTTTAACAAACATATTATTTCAAATAAGATAAAGTTCTTCAAGATACATACAACATTTGGTAAGAAGGCAATGGCAAGTTAATAAATAATAAAACTTATCATTCCTACCTCATCATCAATACCTGAGTCACCATCATCTAAAGCAGACTGATATAAATACTTTTGTTCAGTTGCAGTATAATTCCTCCCTTCATTAATATCTGTTTGTGTGGCTATAGATACCACATTAGATGTCATGAATGAGTCTTCAACACTTCCACCACTCTGACCATCACCACGACAACAGACATGGGAAGAATGACAATGATTACACATAGAAATAACATCACATCTTCCGAATGCTGAACAGCCTCCTGGCTTAAAATCTTTTAGTTCAATATTTTCAAGGAAGTTTTGTTGTTCTTGCATGTCTTTGAAAGAATTTGATAATGTATCTCCATGTTTTTTAATTTCCTTGTCCAAATGTTCTAAATCTTCAACTGTGATGTCACTTTCATGTCTTGAGTGACGTAAAGGTTGAGAACACAAAGCACAATAAGAACGATAAACATTGTTATGTTTTGCAGTCGGTTGAGAATAATTTTCACTTATTTTACACTTTGAACACAAGTCGTAAAAATTGTGCTCTTCAGATTTCTTTGAAAATCGTTTTGAATTGTTGTGTTTTTTAACTTTGTCCTGTGTACTGAAATCGTTCATTTCTGATATATCATTAGCACAATTATCTACACCTACACTAATGTTACCTAAACTATCATTTAATAAAGGCTTCTCATCTATATGAGGAAAATGTACAATATCACAATGAGAGTTAACTCCCTTTAATGAATCAAGTGTTGAAAGTTGAAACTCCTCAATGCGATTGTCATCAACAGGGAAAATTTTATTATGAAAATTAACAGATGTAGAATGAATGTTTTGAGGTGATGTTTTTGGACGTTCAGGTAATGAATATTGACTGGCTCGGATTTTTTTCCTTTGTAATTGAGGCACAGAGGCTGTACGATTATTTTGGCTGGTGGTTTGAGATTTGCTGCTAGACACAGCTATGACAGACTGCTGGGTCAAAGGAGGTAATGCTGCTGTATTATCTTGCTCTATCTTACTCCATGTTAAAGAATCTACAATTAATGTTAAGATATGTTTATAATACAAGAATCTTGACATCATATAAATTAAATATAGACACACATCCCTCCGAGAAATTGCCTTCTATGCTGTGGGTACATTTCATTATTTTCAAATTTGTTCGTTAAAGGGATTGGAACGAGGTTTTCTAAACTTTTTATGTGTATTGGGGACACTGATATCATCAATTTGCACCATTCCAATTTTCATTCCGCTGTCTGTGGTTCTTGCTTCTTCGGAAGCCCTCTTTAATACGAAGTCAATCTATGACTATCAGTACTACTTTGAAACTAATTTTAATTCAGGTGAAAAGAGTGGACAAAGTTTGAATTACCACCAAAAGTGCAAGGACAGTAGTATGTGATAAGGTGTTATAGCTTACCTATATGAAGTGACCAGATATCAGAAGAAATTTGACCATGTCTGACACCACCAATTATCAACATATTACTACCAACCTGAAGATATCAAATAATTTCTACAGTTTATTCAAGAGATGAGATACATCTTTACTAATGGTAAATATTCATAATAATTTATTAATTTCTCAACAAGAAATGCTAAAAATACACAGTATATAACAAACCACAAACTCAATTTCATATTACACCTAACTAAACTAAACTCAAGACATGATGCTTTATAACATGGTAAATATATAAATGAAGAAACACTTACAATAACTGATGAATGTCCTGATAATGAGGGGGGGCCATTTAATAGTTTATGTTGAAACCATTTCTGTAAAACTGGAGAATAAAGAAAACTTTTCTGTATTTTCTGTACATCTCTGTGCATGTTATTACTTAACACTATAGAGAAGGGACATGAGAACACATTTTTGTGAAATTATATACAAACAAAACCTTTAAGTTAAAAATATTTATTTAATGTCCATGTTTCTCAACTGGATATGAACTGTATTAATATTGATATTTGGTAAGCTATTAATATTGATATTTGGTAAGCTATTAATGTTGATATTTGCTAAGCTATTAATGTTGATATTTGCTAAGCTATAAATATTGATATTTGCTAAGCTATTAACATTGATATTTGGTAAGCTTTTAATATTGATATTTGGTAAGCTATTAATGTTGATATTTGCTAAGCTATAAATATTGATATTTGCTAAGCTATTAACATTGATATTTGGTAAGCTTTTAATATTGATATTTGGTAAGCTATTAATGTTGATATTTGGTAAGCTATTAATGTTGATATTTGCTAAGCTATAAATATTGATATTTGCTAAGCTATTAACATTGATATTTGGTAAGCTTTTAATATTGATATTTGGTAAGCTATTAATATTGATATTTGCTAAGCTATTAACATTGATATTTGCTAAGCTATTAATATTGATATTTGCTAAGCTATTAACATCGATATTTGCTAAGCTTATATTGATATTTGGTAAGCTATAAATATTTATATTTGGTAAGCTATTAATATTGATATTTGCTAAGCTATAAATGTTGATATTTGCTAAGCTATAAATGTTGATATTTGCTAAGCTATTAACATTGATATTTGGTAAGCTATTAATATTGATATTTGCTAAGCTATTAATATTGATATTTGGTAAGCTATAAATATTGATATTTGGTAAGCTATTAACATTGATATTTGGTAAGCTATTAATATTGATATTTGCTAAGCTATTAACATTGATATTTGGTAAGCTATTAATATTGATATTTGCTAAGCTATTAATATTGATATTTGGTAAGCTAATATCGATATTTGGTAAGCTATTAACATTGATATTTGGTAAGCTTTTAATATTGATATTTGGTAAGCTATTAATATTGATATTTGCTAAGCTATTAACATTGATATTTGCTAAGCTATTAATATTGATATTTGCTAAGCTATTAACATTGATATTTGCTAAGCTATTAATATTGATATTTGGTAAGCTATAAATATTGATATTTGGTAACCTATTAACATTGATATTTGGTAAGCTATAAATATTGATATTTGGTAAGCTATTAATATTGATATTTGCTAAGCTATTAACATTGATATTTGGTAAGCTATTAATATTGATATTTGGTAAGCTATTAATATTGATATTTGGTAAGCTATAAATATTGATATTTGGTAAGCTTTTAACATTGATATTTGCTAAGCTATTAATATTGATATTTGCTAAGCTATTAATGTTAATATTTGCTAAGCAATAAATGTTGATATTTGGTAAGCTATAAATATTGATATTTGGTAAGCTATAAATATTGATATTTGCTAAGCTATAAATATTGATATTTGGTAAGTTATAAATATTGATATTTGGTAAGCTATTAATATTTATATTTGGTAAGCTATTAATGTTGATATTTGCTAAGCTATAAATGTTGATATTTGCTAAGCTATAAATATTGATATTTGGTAAGTTATTAATATTGATATTTGGTAAGCTTATAAATATTGATATTTGCTAAGCTATTAATATTGATATTTGGTAAGCTATTAATATTGATATTTGCTAAGCTATAAATATTGATATTTGGTAAGCTATAAATATTGATATTTGCTAAGCTATAAATATTGATATTTGCTAAACTATTAATATTGATATTTGCTAAGCTAATATTGATATTTGCTAAGCTATAAATATTGATATTTGGTAAGCTATTAACATTGATATTTGGTAAGCTATAAATATTGATATTTGGTAAGCTATTAACATTGATATTTGGTAAGCTTTTAATATTGATATTTGCTAAGCTATAAATATTGATATTTGCTAAGCTATTAGTATTGATATTTGATAAGCTAATAATATTGATATTTGCTAAGCTATAAATGTTGATATTTGCTAAGCTATAAATATTGATATTTGCTAAGCTATAAATATTGATATTTGCTAAGCTATAAACATTGATATTTGCTAAGCTATAAATATTGATATTTGCTAAGCTATTAGTATTGATATTTGATAAGCTATTAATATTGATATTTGCTAAGCTATAAATGTTGATATTTGCTAAGCTATAAATATTGATATTTGCTAAGCTATAAATATTGATAATTGCTAAGCTATTAGTTCACATAAAATTGGCTGTTTTTGGTTTTTAATGAAGAAAATCATTTAACAGTGCATTTTAATCTTTTAATCTTACCAAAGTTATATTGCCATAAATCATTTTTAACTGTTAAATCACTCATTCCTCCAAATATCCACATACTGTTACCATGGAGACAGGCAGTGTGAGCATGACGTGATCCAGGATGATTTCTAGTTGGTTGAGGTAGAAGTTGCCATTCTTCTTCATCTACAATACATAAAGAATATTAATGAGGGGGTGTGAAGAAGACACCAAGTATCTGGTAACCTTTTCTAAAATTGTCTGAATGAAGTTTAAAAAAAAATGCATAATTTTAGTTTTTTAGGAAATTAGAAATATTAATGTTAGTCAAATAAGTCTGAAACAATAAGACCTAAACTAAGGTTTCTTACCAATGCTGTACTGCCATAATTCACCTATTGATCCCTTCATATCATTAAAACCTCCATATATATATAACTTATCATTATAAATAATACTGGTATGTTCGCGTCTACCAGTGGGCTGGTTACTCCCATCTCCAATATATCGTCGAAGGTGATTTAGGTCTGTAAAATGACACACTTAAAAATCAATCTCAAGGCTTTCATTCCACTTTCACAAGTAAAAATGAGACAGCATTCTACAATTGAACTCTTCATGTTATCCTTCCTTTCTCTAAGACCTACCTTGAACAGTTTTAGGTACATGAGGGTATCATAACTAGAATTTAAAGCAGGGGTTTTCATCCTGGGTGGTAATTTGAATTTTTTGAGGGGGTCATGAAGAACTTTGTAGTTCAGCATAAAATTTTTTAAAATTTAAGTTTTTTTATTCAGGCAGCCTATATTCTTCGAAATGAAAAGAACTGCAGGAGAAAACCTAAGAGAAAATCATGAAATAGTACAGATTTATTGGGGGAAGGGGGTAATGCAATTGATCAAGAATCCTGAAAGGGTAAAAACCCTGCTTTAAAGGAACAGATTCAAATTCTAAACCTGGAGTAGACTGTTATGGTTGGGGATAAGGGAATAAGGAGGCAAAGACTATATTCGGTCAGTGGAAAAGGGTTAACATAGTAAGTAAATCATACAATAATGATACTTACCAGGATTGTAAATGAATAATGAAGCGCAGTCATAACTATTAGAAAATTCTCCTCCAAATACTAATATCAATCTCTGTAAAAGATATATGAGAATATAGCTTTATAAAGATAGATGAGCATATCGCTTGATAAAGATAGATGAGAATATAGCTTGGTAAAGATAGATGAGAATATAGCTTGGTAAAGATAGATGAGCATATCGCTTGATAAAGATAGATGAGAATATAGCTTGGTAAAGATAGATGAGAATATAGCTTGGTAAAGATAGATGAGAATATAGCTTGGTAAAGATAGATGAGAATATAGCTTGGTAAAGATAGATGAGAATATAGCTTTATAAAGATAGATGAGAATATAGCTTTATAAAGATAGATGAGCATATCGCTTGGTAAAGATAGATGAGAATATAGCTTGGTAAAGATAGATGAGAATATAGCTTGATAAAGATAGATGAGCATATCGCTTGGTAAAGATAGATGAGAATATAGCTTGGTAAAGATAGATGAGAATATAGCTTGGTAAAGATAGATGAGCATATCGCTTGATAAAGATAGATGAGAATATAGCTTTATAAAGATAGATGAGCATATCGCTTGGTAAAGATAGATGAGAATATAGCTTGGTAAAGATAGATGAGCATATCGCTTGGTAAAGATAGATGAGAATATAGCTTGGTAAAGATAGATGAGAATTATAGCTTTATATAAGAGTAAGGATTTCTTTCCAGTGTTCCAATAGAAATATCTGCACATCTGATTTTTGTCAATGATTTTTTATGTTCTGGTTATCAATTTTTTTTTACTATTAGATTAAAGTTGGGCAATAATGGAACACTGTCATAAGAATATTGCTTCATTTATAATTCATCATTGTTTTTTACATAATGGATATTTTATTCCCAAGACAAAACATTTCTTTATCGTTTCAATCGGATATCAGAAAATAACAATATTTCATCCAATTTGGATTGAACTTTATAGCCTCTAAGATATATCCTAACCTTTAACCCTTTCAACACTAGCGGCCACAAAATTAGGCAATATATATATAATGGACTGGTCGTTACTAAGTGACATCAAACAACGTTAACATCACATGCTTTAACTTATATTACTTGGATTTCAGGGTATATATATAATGTTTTATTTTTTATTTCCAGGTTGAAAGGGCTAGGCTTATTTTGCATAAGCTCACATCACTTAAACAGAAAGGGATAAAATTAACTAAATATATTAGATCAATGATCTAGAAACAAAAATAAATACCTGATATGAAGAAAGTGTGTGACCTTGAAGATGACCTATTTCTAATCCTTTTGTTACTACTTCTTCCCATTCTTCACTTTCTGCAGGATCAAAACAACATATTGAAATCATTAATAATACAAATTGTTAAGTCTGTCGATGAAAAGACCACACTCTGCTTTGACATAGATTTCATTTCCAAATTATGCATAACTTGCCAGGTAAAAAACGCCACAGGCAGCTTTGTTTGATTCAGGCAATTTGCATAAATATTCAACATTTCTTTAGTCATACTTTTTTTTCACAACCTTTTTGGTTCTTTTCTTTGGGCTCTCTTCCTTGGATGATTATTGTTTCATCAGACTTTGTTCAAATAACTCACAAATTGTGCCCCGTAGTGTGTAGTGATATTAAATATTTTCTTGATTTTTGTGTGGGTTCATCATTGATGTTAATATCGTTAAAATTACAGTTTTCATAACAGAATTTAACAACCAAGGGTGTTCACTTACTGAGATCAAATTTCCAGAAATCTTTCAGTGGTTTGGTAGCGTCTTTTCCTCCAGACATATAAACATGGTTACCATGGATACAAGTGGCATGTTTAATTCTAGTACGAGGGTTTTGATTGGTTGATTTTAATTGTGACCAGAAGCAAGTAAAAGGGTATGTCTCCCAGTCAGATGATGTGTCCATTCTGTATTTTGTTACAATTATGCTTCACTGTAAGATTATGCTGAAAGGTCATGGTAGAAACTGGAATTAGAAATATAAAAATCTAACTTGATAGACAACACAGCTTTGTAAAACTTATTGAGAATAAATAACTATTTAATACTTTCAACATCACCAGGCGGTTACAGTATTTTATAATAAATAAACAAACAAACAATTGTATTTAACATTTGCAAAAAATTTCTTCCTTTAAAGTAACCATATGAAACAGACATATCATCCCAAGTTGCCCTTGTATTAGTAAAGCCATGATCACACTCTGCTTGGCAATTTATCGGGGGTCGACTGAAAGCTAGCTTAAAGCATGGGTGTACTGGTCTTTCTGGTCTATTGCATTTCTTACTGGTCTAAACAGTAGTCTTGTACATCACGATGTCGTTAAACTCAGAGTAAACGCAGTGCGTTTGGCAATATAGCTGGCTCTAAGCTAACATAGAGGAAGCTTTACTTTACAATTCTCAGTGGAAACACTGCCTAATATCCTGAGAATAAAAGTTTAACCTGGATTTAAGTACGGTAGGTGTCATTAATCTAAACCAATTAATTTGTTCACCCAATTGTTATTTTCGAATAAATCACTTGACAACAATTCACAATACCATTAATCAAATGAAAACTGTTCTCTCTTAATTTATACATTGTACTGGATCAAACAAACTGAGTTTCAATAGAGAAAATCATACCAAAAACCTAGCACAATGACAGCAAAAACTAACGCAATGTACATACATATCTGGTCCAGTGGTGTGAGGTAGTTGGATAATTTCTATTTTAGTCAACTTGCACTCAAAAACATCAACACCAAACAAAAATGTCCCATTCACTGCAATCTTTGAAGGTTACGTTCCTGTAGTATTTATTTAAATTGATTGATCTGGTCTAACTAAAGTTATATTGTCCTTTCTTATCAAAGTTTACATCTTTATTTAACGCAATAACACAACTTGCTATATCTATATCTAATTGATGCTTACTATATTCTAGTCTATCTTATTGATTACTATTATTCAGCAGTACAAACAACAAGACCAAATTACCACAAAAATTTATTTTTTCTGCAATATAGGGGTAAGCAATGTTCTACTATGAAGGAAGATTAATAATAGTAGTATTGGTTGTTAATACAGAATCCATTTCTCAAATTAATGCTAATCTTAGTAGGCATACCGTACAAGTCCAATACATCCAAATACAATCCCATCATCAAATCAATCAAATTAACATGTTTAAGCCTTGAAAATAAAAAAAAGATACCAATTTCACAACAAAATCTACGATGAAAAACCATCCTTGAAAAAACACTAATTTTGAATGATAAATGGTTCCTGATCTAAATATGTATGTATGCATCCTCAACGAAAACAAATTTTTGTACTGTAAAGTGTTATCCATATTAACAGCACTGTTTTGATGTGATTGATAAAATATTAGTTACTGGTTGAAATTTATCTACAAAATAAGCTACATATGTTTACTCTATAAAATCATTAAAGCTTATAAACCACAAAAATCAATGATTGGCTAATATATTAAGTGAATTTCACAATTCCTTGCTAGTATTTAGCTTCAGATATTGGCTTAACAGTCTTGATATGTATTTATACAGCCCAAAATAGATAATAGAAAAGCAATTTCACAATCTTTCCTTATTTCCAGTGTTATTGTACAAATAAACAGTAGTTTATAGTTATGTTGTAATACCAATTGCTGATAAACTGTATAATTCACATTTATTTAAGCTGTCAATTGTAATCATACTATATTAACCCTTCAATGACATGATTAATATACATATACTAGTCAATTTAACATCAAGGCCAGTGATTTTCCATGTGCAGTTTATAATGAAATTAACGAGTCAACTGACATTACTTCTACTAAACTCATAGAAATCAAGAGTAAACCTACTTAATTATAGACAAATTACATACTAGATTTTCACCTTGAATGGTGAGATGGGAGATATAGTAACTGTACCATATCCTGGTCTTCATTGAATATTGATCAGTGATCAAAGACACTAGTTACACTTATTACTGACTCTGATAATATGCTTGTTATCAGTTCATAATATACAATATTAATTAACACATCAAATAATAGTTAATTACTGGCTCCTTGTCAAAACAACTACAGGCTTACACATTTTTTTAGGCCAAGGAAATACAAAACTTTGTAAATTCATACAATAAATCAAATATCAAAGTTTAATCAGGAAAACAACAATAGAAACCTTACCATAATTAAAGACTATCCAATAAATTACAGTATCAAGTATGTGAACCAATATATATTAGTACGGTATCTAAGGATATTAGTAACTAAATTTTACTTTGAATAAATTCAGTTCTATCTCTGTTTATAATAAAAACTGACCATTATAAAATAACTTGATAAACAAATTGTCCTGAGTCTTCAACAGTCATCATTTAACATCTTCAATGTCAAGCACAAATGATTCTAGAGATTTATTTTGACAATTATTTAAACAATGATATGCTTGACCTGTGCTCATATATATCAGACTGAAGTATCAAGTCTTTATCATTTCTTCTAGACTAAATCACTGTGTCATTTGCTAAAGGCTACATAACAACATAAAATGCATCAGAATATCTACCAAATATTTAATTTTAAATGATGTCCGCAGGCCAGTTTCAGTTAACCATACAATCTGATTAAAGATATTGACTACAATTGACTCGAAAGGGTATCAGGGAAATAAAGACCATCAGATATTTTGGCTTTTAGGAAAAATCATGTCCACAGCTGAAGTATATTTGTGTAATCTACATAACAAATCATGTTGAATTTAAGGAACCACTGATGTGGAATGGCGCAAATTGATGCTATCAGTGTCCCTAATACACATAAATTTTAGAAAACTCTTTAAAATCCCTTCGACTTCATTCTAAAACGGAAACAAGTGATCAATGTAGCATTTTGTGATACAGTACAGTTATTTTAAAACAGTTTCAGTAAACTAATCTAGTTGGTGAAAGCATATTACCTCATAATAGTTTTAACCAAATATATTTTTAATCTGCTAATAAAATAGCCAATGTTCAATAACTATTTAGACATTTTTCTCTAAATATCTATTAAAAGTGAAAATAGTTTCTTGCACTACTACCTTTCTTCACTGATCCCTATATATTTCTAATATAAGGTTAAATACCAATGAAAGATATACTGTATATATATACATTGTTGACATAGTTGTAATATGACATACTAAAATATAATATTAAGTACTGTATGTTGAAATATTTATGCTAGAAAAAATTCAACTACATTATATTATAAATAGTGTAACCCCTCTAAACTGGCAGCCCAATGGAAAATACCAGTTTAAAGGGTTATCGGATTATTGTGTAATAGGCTACTCAAACAGAGTTAAACTTAAATTTTTCTGACTTTTAATAAGGTTCATCCATGTGTGATTAAAAACACTCGAACCAAGTTAAATCAAAATCTGTCAATAATCGAACCTTCAAGAGCGTTAACGACATGTTTTCAAGAGCAAGGGCAATAACTGATATTAAATATTTTTCCGATATTTCTGACTTTTAATAGGATTCATCCTTGATTGATTACAAACAATCACACCAACTTTCCAGTCAAGAATTGTGCCTTCCAGAATGATTACGAGCAATTATGGACAGACGGACGCACGGAAATGTTGGCGTATACAAATCACTGACAAAACCAAAATAACAGCATTAAGCTTCATTTAAACATGGCAATTCATTGGACTACACAGTCAGTTCTGATTTCATCCCATGCAAAATAGGTTCTAGGATCAGCTAGATCAATAATCTACCAAATGTAAGCAAAATGTAAGATTACTGTAATTTCTTGAAAGGTTTTTTTAATAGAAACTGTTTTGGTCTAGGATTTTCAGAATTTTTTATGGCCTCTTTACATAATGATCTATAATGTTTGGTAGTTACTATAGATACCACAGAGAGAACAATATTAGAAAATACGGCATGGATTTTACTGTCATTATTTGAATACTTGTTTGTAATCAATACAAACTTCATACTGAAATAATCAACAATTCACAAAAACACAAATACAAGTTAGCTAATCAGTGTGACTTAAACTACCAAAATATTAGTTTTTTTCAGGATATGATAAAACAACAGATGACACAGTCTCAAATTGAAATGGAGTTGAACGTCCTACTTTACTGCATCTGTTTGGGCTAATGAAGAAGGGAATCATGTAGTCATGCAGGACCTCAGTTTATTGTATTTTCAATGTCAGCTCCTGTGACCTTGGGAGGAAACCGATACCCTGCTTGTCTATAGAAGACCGACCACTGCCTCAAATTCAATGTTCTGATTTTACAATTTGCGAACCGCCAACCAGAACGTAAGCCCTGATTATTAGGTCAGTTGATGTATATGTTTGACGAAGAGCGGAGGTTAGACAAACAATGTCATAACAATGCGTCTTTAACGTTAGTCCATAATAAAATTTATTCGTCTTTGGTCCGCTTTGTCTTCTATGTGGAATTTCAAGCGATGTCAACTTTGATTCCACTAGCAAATGAAATGATTGGAGTACTTCGTTCTATTTCTTGTATATTGCCTAGTGTTGAAACGGTTAATCAGTTAACCATTTTTGGGTAGTGTTTCTCGGGTAACTGGGTCTGATTTGAGATAATCGGTTAATCGTCAATTTTATAAGAAGTAAAAAGAGAGCAATTTTGACAGAAAATTCATCACTGTATGAGTCTTTAAGCTGTTTTCTTTAGTAAATAAACATCTTTATTGATTGAACAATTGAGATTAATAAATCAAGATAGGGTATCAATTATCAAAACATTAAGGAGTTGCAAGAATTGTGCTCAAGATTATCAAGCCTCTTTTTTGATATGTTCAACTATTTACTCGTTCTGGATAATCGAGTCACGATAGTCGACAGTCGCTGTGTGCACCGTTGCGTTAATT